GGGCTACAATCATGGCTCATTAAGAAAGGTTTTGGTTACTTTTTAGAGTTTGTGGAAAACTTGTTTTCCAGAAAATCGATCGCTGAAGGTTCCTGAGCGGCTACCACTATGATATTCGGATTCAGCATAGTTGATAATGTATAACCCACTAGATTTGGCTGAAAAAGCGATGTGACAGTTCGCGAGGTCCCCTCATTAGAGCAAAGGTCTAATAAGTATTCTTTTGCATACTTACGTTCGGTTATTTATCAATCGAGGTGTGGTGATTTTCCATATAACGAAAAACTGCATAGAAATTTCATAAATTCTGATGTATATTTCACCAAAACAAAAATAATTTTTTATACAAAAAAAAAAAAGAAACGAAAAAAAGTTAATATCACAATTAATAATATTAAATCTATTCTCAATAAGAGAACAATTAAGAATCTTGTATGAAATTAAGAACAAAAATTCGATTGAAAAAAATAATTTCTTATCTCTTATTTTCTACAAGAAACAGTAGTAGTCGTATTCCTGAGACAAGTGTTCATTACAGAAGAAGAAAAAAAACAAAAACATGGGAGAAAAACTACAGCGATAAATATACCGGCAAACAGATTAAATGAAGAGAAAATGATTATTTTATCCACGTTGGATCGATTTCTATATAAAAGTTGAATAATCAATGTTAGTCTTATATATATATATATTTTGTTTTTCTGTGTATTGTTCAAAACTTTTCTTCCGTTACTTTTTCGGGAATTTATAATGGCAGTTAGTCTTAATATCATTTATCACAGCAACAAAAAAAGAATGAGCATACTTTTCTGTTTGGTGCCCAAACACGTGGTGATCGTCGTCGATTATTGTTATTAAAATTACATGTTGATGATTTTCGTTTAATACCAATTGTTATTGGAGATGATTTACGTTTTACTGTTTTTAATGGTGGAGAACAGGGCATTCTTATTGGTGATAAATGATGGCGAACATATTCGGGACTACGCGGACTACGACTCGTACGACGATAAGATAATGATAATTCTGGTGATGTTGAACAACTAGTACTTTTTTTTTGATATAATTCTAAATGATAGAAAAAATTTTAATAAAATTTATTCATTTTTATATTATAAATACCTTCTGTTTCAACGCTATTTATTCGTACACTTCGTGATTTTTTTCGACATCTATCAAATGGATCTTCTCGTTTTTTTTTACATAAATTTCTTTTTGGTGATTCGTATATTTTAGATTTATTATGTTTTAATTTTCGAAATGATAAATCATCTTTGATCGGTGATGATAATTTTGTTTTTTCAAGAACTAATAATGTATCTTGTTTTTCTTGTTTAACATTTTGTTGTAATTTAAATTGTAAAGATGAACATGATAGATCAAGTGGTTGAGGTGGTGAATGTGGTTCACGTTTAATTCGAAGTACAGGCTCCTCTTCAACAGATGAACGAGAAGTACATGTTATCTGTTGAGCAGGCTAAAATACAGAACAATTTAAAATATTCAATGTTTTAGTATTTAAACATATATATTAACTTTACTTTGATTTTAACGTCAGCTTGAATTGATAACGGTGAACTAATAGACTTTTTTGTATCAACGTCAGTTTTTACTGGTGATAGTAATAGTGAAGGACACTTTTGCCAATCAGAAGATGATTTCGCATAAAATGCTAAACTTTTTGGTCCATCATTATTTGACTTTTGGTTATTGTTTGACTTTGTCATATATTCTTTGTAAATATCTCGTTCTTTCAACCATGGCGGAGGATTATCTAAATAAAGAAAATGGATCAAGAGATTTAATTGTCAAATATTATTTCTAAATTTACCTTTATACATCACAAGGGACATGAATTCTTTGACATTCGTCACAGTAGACAATAGTGCAGAATTATTTAATGAAGAACGTTTTAACTTTGTCTTGTTTGTAGAATGAGTGCCATATCTAGAACAGAAAAAAAAATCCAATAAACAACATCATATTACAAATGTAATTTATTATATTCTAAAGATGGAAGTAAAATGACTAGCAAATATTTTCAATATCCATGAAAAAAGATAGAATAATTCTTAAACAGACACGTCTCCACAGTGTGTAATAAATTTTTGCTATACTTTACCTTCTTTTTCCATTTGTCTTTCCGTCTGCTGTTGTTGCCGTCTAGAAAAAACAATAACATAAACATGATAAAAAATATAAATAGGAACTTTGCGTGCAAAAAAAAAGTCAACTTGATCTTTTTGACATACCGTTTCCGGTGTTTCATTGTCACATTCTAATTTTATTATTGTCTTTTTTTTTGATAACTAAAATAATAGAGAAAAGAAAAATTTACATTTTATCAACATGTTTAAGACAACAATTTCACCTGTTTTGTTAACAGTTTTTCTGAATTTTGAGAACGATCTCGTTTTTTTCGTATTATTTTTGCCGTACTTTTAGTCCCATCATTACGTTTAACTTTTTTATTGTCAAATTTATTAAAAGTAGATTGATTCTTGTTGTACATCAAACTTCGACGACGGACACAGACACACACGAAATAATCGAGTACTTTTCTCGATCTATAATCAAATTTAAGGAGAACAATATAATATTGAAAAAGTGTAAGCAATCTCGTTTTATTTCAGAAAAACAACAACCTTTTGTTGTTCAGATCAGAGGTGGAGTTGATATAAAAGAAAAAACGAAACCGTTACCGATCGCAGATTTCAAATTAAAAACCGAACGATTAATTGGTAGAAATAAAAATTGGCCAATGTTAGCAAAAATATTTTAAATTTTGTGATCGACTTTCGATTTGAAAAGTTATGTCAAGGATGAACACTGTCACTCGATTTGAGAAAATAACGCAGTATAAACAAGATTGCACATTATTCTGTATGATAAAATAAACATCTAATGTTTTTAACATTTTAACTGTGAAAAACAAAATAAAACAAAAGCGATTGTATAAAGAATAGAACATTTAATGAACAATAAAGTGTAGTTGTTAATTTAATATTCATTTTGTCTTTATTTACTACATCATTTATACTTTGTTTATTTCTCTCGTATAATATACTATGTACGATGTCTTTACGTATGCGAAAAACTACAAAAAATATTTTTCTTGTTTTCTATTATTTAATCAACTGGTCACCTGTTTGATTCTACCTCTCTGATTCAAATACAGAGTGTATAAAATGGAGGGACAGAATAAAATTCCGTGAAAAAAAGTCTGGCTTTTAATGAAATTTTTTTTTTCGGTCAAAATCCATCAAAAAAAATAACATGTTTGCATTACACTGTAATACGTTTAAAAAAAAAATAGTATCATTCTTACGATTGTAGGTGAAAAAAAAATTATATATATTTTTCTAAGATTTAATTTAATAATTTTTTTAATTGAATATGTCAAGTAAAATTATTTCTCGATAGAAATAATTGCGGATATTCTCATATTTAAATCTTATAATCTTAGTCAAAAAAAGGTGTGTGTTCTTCAACTATCTAATCAACAGATAAATATATATATTCATTATAAAATCTCTTAAGAGAAAAAGTTTCCTCCTCTCTTTTAGATCAACAAGTTGAGTTTATATTGATTGAAATCAAACGTAAACAAATGAACGCGCCTAATGATAGCTATTACTATTTTTTTTTGTTTTTTATTATTAGTTAGTTATTCGTTAGTTAGAATAAAAAAGAAAAAAAAATCATGCTATAGAATATGAAATAGACATCATCAAGACTATTTTATTTCTTTATTCTCTTCTTTCTTTTTTGTCAGCTACTGTCATTCTATTTTGTTTTAATATAATGCAGACGTGAATGAATAAAGATTTTATCATCATCTCTTGTATTTTCTGTTAGAGTACCAATATTATATCATTATTAAAAAAAAGACAAAAAAAATAAAAAAATCTTTTTTGTTTCTCGATGATGAGACAAAAATTACGTTGCCTATGAATTTATTTGCTAATTTAGCTGCAAATCTTTTTGTCAATAAAGATACATTAATTAAAGTATTAAAAACATCTGATTTTTCACAAGAATTTATTGATGAATTTAAAAATGATCGTATTTATTTAGAAGAAGAATTTATGAGAAAAAAATTGAAATTATTATGTGAATTAGCTAACGATTATCATTTTGAAGATTTATATTGTTATGATACGGGTATTTTATTTATTTTACATACAACTGAAAAAGAACATTCAACTATTCGATATCGTATCAAAGTTTATGTAAAATTATTAGCTGTTAAATTTACACAAACAAATCAAATTGTTCATTTTATTATTGATCATTTACAATTAAAATCGTTAAATTTTATTTCTAAACCATTTCGACATTGTGCTGAACGTCGTGCAAGACGAATGTTAATTGATGAATTTGAACGTGTTTGTGAAGAAAATAAAATACTCTATCAACGATATAATACACATACTACAGATATAAAAGATACAACAACAACGGCAAATAATAATGTGAATGCTGAATATTGGATAGACTTGAAGAATTTAAAAGAATTAAATTTATTAAGACAACAACATTTTCTATTAGGAAATAGATCGATATTAGAAATAATTGAAATTTTAAATATTGAACATCAAAATGGTGCTATAATATTAGCATATAGAATTCGAATGCCAACAGCAATCGATAAAACATCATCATTATCAACATCAAGTCCATCACCATTCATTATATCCGAAGTAGATTTATCACGAAAAAGAGCAACAAGACAAATTATAAGAAGATCCTGATATTAAACTGAGAGAAAAGAACTGAATTCTGCCGGAACTTCTTTTTCTCAGTCGAAAAGAACTCAATCAATTTTGATCTTCACTCTATGTAAGAGATTCTCTGTATTATTACTGTTCCAATATAAATACACACGTTAGTTTTAGCAATGCATGTAACAATTGAAATTATACGCTATTTTTTTGCAAATTATTTTTCTCAACAAAAATTGATTCTCTCGAATTTTTCTAACAACTAAATTTTGTAGAGCAAACATTTTCATGCAGAGTATTCCTCATCTTGATTCTAGTACTTATAAAACAAAGATTTCTTAAAAGTCCCATGATCAGTTATAACTGATATAGGGCTCTTCATCGAAAATCGATTGCAATAGAAATAGAAAACATAAAGACTTCCGCTATAGCTAGCACATCTTGTAGAAAAATGTTTGATCTATACTAAATTGTTAGAAAATACTTTTTATGCAATCCGTTTCAGAAAAAAAAAGATGAAATTCATCGATTCATGCCTACTTTTAGCTCAACACATAACATCTATGACGATAAAGAATCTTCTAAAATCAAATATTACAAAATTTTCAAATTTAAGTATCTTTTTTTATTGTATTTTACGCGTCATATGATATCTGTAACAGAATTTTACGTGTTTTCTCGGCATCGTTCAACATCTCTTTTCGAAATAACGGTCATTTTTAGCGAGACGTGCGAAAAATAATTTGTAGAAAAAGAAAGTGTTAGTAGAGTTTATTTTTAAAAATTAAACCCACGTATTGTTTCTTTTCAGATGAGAAAAATTAATGATGAGAAATTTTTTTGTTGTTCAGATAATGTCTGTAGAGTGTATAAAAAAAAGTTCATGATCATTTTAGAAATTCATTACTTTTATTTCCTGTTATTTTTCTATTTTCAGGTTTGATCAAATTTATAATAGAATGAATAAGGTAAAAGTATACGTCATCTGTTAGTACGAGATTTTTCTTTTCCTTCGTTAAGATATTATTGTCAATTTTTTTTTTTAAAATCATTCATCAGTAAATTTTGTTTATTATGTATTAACAAATGACAAATACTATATCTTTCAATTACAATATTTCATTCAATTATGTACGGTATCATTTAAATATTATATATAATCTTATAAAAAATTTTCTAACATCCAGATAAGTTACTGAATTTTGTTTTGTTTTTTTATTATTTTTTTATGTTCATTATCTATCATAATCAACAAAATATCTACAATGGTCAAAATCATTATTTTATTTTATTTTTTCTTCGGTCTTTATTTCATGAATAATTCAACTGATTTGACTTTCTTTACAATGATATGCATAAATCAAATCAAAAGAGAAGAAAAGATGCTATCTTATATTAGTAAAATTCCTTTTCTTTTTCTGTGAGACTAACAGTTAATAAAAACAGAAACATCCGGAAAAACAGCTCAAAAAAAAAAATTTAGATATTTTCTTTCTCAAAACTATCTTCTCAACAGACTCATTTCATGCTCAAAATTAGAGCTCGGATTTAAAATGAAATAATATGTTTCTTATTAGTTTTCGAAAGTCTCAGAGAGAGAGAAATAATAAAACGTTCAAACATTTGAAAATGACAGAATGAGTTGACAAATATAGACAAAATTATCGAAAATTATATTTCGCTAAACACCTTGATATGTCAATAATATCTTTTTACTTATTACAAGAAATGTTAAAATATCGCATTGTAATTCCTCGTTAGACTTCATACATTCTATGACGGACAAACAAATGGATAATAAGTGGGCTAAATACTTTATCCATAATAAAAATACTTAAGCTTTCGTTTTAAAAACTGTATCAATGAATAGGACAGTTATAGAACATTCTGGTTCTAGTTTTTTTTACTCCACATATCATGATGGGAGGAGACCTAAATCAAGTGAAGATGCAACTGAAAGCAAACGTTTTATGATCTAGCAAAATAATAATAGAAATCTTCGGTGGATAAACATATCGACAAAGAGACAATAAAACACGCCAGAGGAATATTATTTCAAATCTTAATATATTAACAAAATTATTGAATTTGAACGAACATTTATTCTTTCTGAAAACGTACAAGTGGCAAAAAGTATCTCTAATTGACAAATGGCTGAAGTGCAAACTCTTTCTTTGATTCTCCATATTATCCATACTAATTTTGAGTTGAAAAAGTAAACTAAACACGCTTAATACTTTACAATATTCAAACATATAATTTATAAAAACAGTCATACAACATTCTATGTTTAAAGTATGCATAAAGAAAAACATATTCTGAAGGTGAAAAATTAACGAAAGGGATAACCAGAAACATAAGAAAATCTTAATCAATGATGGCAGAGAAGCAGGTTTGATATTAGCTTTATTCCTTTAGAATACCAGAGAAAGAATTCCATTATAGTAAATTAAAACTATCGACAAAACCAAAGAATTATCCCAACAAAAATCGAGTCGATTGCACAATTTCAATCGTTATACAGTACATAGACTAAACAAATTGCACTTCAAGTATAAGTTTATGTGTTCGAGTCCGTATTAGTAACTTACACATCTGCGTTTCTATTGTTTGATAGTTAAAATCTGAAATACTATAATGCAGTTTTTTCGCTTACATTTTAAAAGAATAAAGTTTATATTTAGAGCAGATGACTTCATATACAATACAATAATTCTCTTTATCCTTCTGAGAGAAACATGAAAGTTTCGCCAAATACATCACAGCAAAATTTACAATAGCCACTACTCCTTTCACATCTTTTTTTAAGAAGTACCATCAAAAATATCAAAGTTTAAATTTTAATATCTGTACTTAGGAGAACAAACTTTTTCGCAATTAACTGATTTTAAGTGAGGATATGTTGTGTTAGACCCGACCACACAACTATACAAAAAAAAGTGTAAATTTTTGTCGTCCATTACAGGCTTGCTCCTCCGCAGAAAATTGTAGAAAAAAGTAGCTTTGTTTATGAATATTGAAATAGAAACTATTAAATTATAGCATTTGCATAACCAGAAATTACAATTACATGCTCCTATTTCTTTTCGGCAGATGTCACAGGTTTGTGGAAGAAATCCGACATTTTGTTGAACTACTCTTAGATATTCTGTTTCTTCTATTCAGAAATTCTTGAAACTTGTTGAAATAGTGCAGTGCAATTGTATAATAAGCTGATTATGAATTGATTTGTTGTATTATCAGTTAAAATTTTAAACTAATTATGACGTGTCTGTCACTTAAATTGCCATGCTAAGACTCTTTAGAAAATTCAGCATTTCACCACTCAGCTTTTTCTGTCAGGAACATGATGAAATCAAGTTTAGTTGTCTGCGTAAAAGCTTTTCAGGCTCAACTTGATAAAAGTTAGTGCACAGCACTTTTGAACACCTCCCGCTAACTTAGTGATGTAAACCCTTCTTACTATCGGAGTATATTTTTGGCTAATCAATGATTCTTTTTCATGAAGAAAAATTCCATCGCGGATCGACTAAGTTCTATTTCTGCTGCATATATCTCAGTATTTATTCCCCATGTGATCGCAATTTGATCTCTGATGTCTAATGTTTCGTGTGTGGATTACCAGAAGATCCGTCTCATTTGCCATATGTAAAAAAGACATTCACGCTCGGTAATTTAAAAATAAACAAGTATCCCTTTCGATTCTCTTGCCTGTCATCTTTTGTGTATCGAATGGTAATGGTCTATCTAAAGATCCAAAAAGTTCGAACCCAGCCCTTTTGTTTCTCTCCATACACAATCACTCTAACTCATTCATAGAACAAAATCGTCTATATCGTGAGTAGCTAAACGATTATCGTAACTCTATTACGACCTGTTTGCGTAAGTTAAAAATTGGGTTGACGCGTTACGCTCGAATGCTTTTGAATGACCTAAAATGTGTACATAGTTATCAGACTTCAACTTAACCTTGTTTGAAAAAAAAGAAACAGAAGAGAAGAAACATAACCTTCCTTTTGCTGATTAGGGTATTCTGCGATGTTATCATAATCTAAATGACTATTTACAATTAGACGCAAAAAAATGATTGAAAAAGACAAAATACAGCTGATTATATAATTTAAAATGAAGTATTATGAGTAATCATGTCTATAGCCAAATTACCCGACGTTCCTCAAACAGAATTAGATGAACCGCTTGCACAGTGTGGTGTGCTCTACCTTGGTACAGCTGCGCCAGCAGCAGGATTAGAAGGATTAAATTCTGTACAAGAGCCACTTTCAAGACGTTATCCAGTCGATGGTACAAACATTGTTAAAGGTCTGTATGTTTTGCTATTTAACTAAGCATAAATTGCTCTTGCCTACTCATTAAGGTATTGACTCTATTTTGACCGTGTACGAGAATGGGGTACAAATACAGTTTGCTCGTCATCCCTATGTTGTCATATTTTATCCCATTGCATCGTTAGTGTATTGTGCAAGTTTACGTTACGCAATTGTTAACGGTGATCCGAGTAAACAGTCCGTCCCAAATGATTGGTGCTTTGCACCATTAGATGCATTGCAAACGAAGACACAAAGTAAACATCCTCCAGTATTTTGTGCTGTATTTCAGCGTAGTCAAGTATTACTTGGTGAAGACTGTCATTGTTTCATAACAAAAAGTAATGAAGCTGCGCTGGCTCTTGTCAAAGCGGCATCAACAGCGTATTCATCAATTAATCCCGCATCAAAATGTTTAAAATCGCCAATTTTTTATCAGGTAAGTAAAGGATAGTCTCTCTCATGTTAAAAATTGAGTACATATATGATTTATTAAGCTCGATCGTTATGGTCGTAAACTAACAGAAACTAATGGAGCTGTTTATTTGTCGCCGGCTGATGGTGTTAGGAAAGGGAAAGGAAATAACATTTTTGATACAGAATTGGATGGATATTTTTATAAAACAGATACGGCATTAATTGAAGTATGGCAATTATGGGATGAGGATGACGTTGAACGCCCCAAACCACCACCATCGCCATTTGGCTATCATCAAGGTACAGATTTTCGCAAAAGTACAGATATAATAAAAGATTCTGAAGCATCACGTTGAACATTTTTTTAGGGATTATTCATGATGATACAATTAATGAGTTAAATAACCATCTTAAACATATGGATGATAATGAAGAAAAGCGCTCTCGCTCTTGCTCTTGTAGCAGTCGATCTTCATCTCGAACGTCCTCATCATCAGACTGCCCTTCACAGATGCTTTTTCGACCAAATTCGTCTGCGTCGAAACACAGTCGTCGACGACAACTATCATTCACATCTTCGAATAATGATCAATTTAATCCAACATTTTCACATTTGCAAACAAGTACATTTGAACCAGTAGGCGCCAATGCCTCACAAAACGATTCAAATCCAGTGGTGATTGAAAAATATATTTCTGAACAACAGAAACCAGAGTCTGTTGCCTTTCGCAATAATTTTCAGACATTTTCGAACGACAATAATCATTATCCTCAAAAAAATTATATTCTTGAACAATCGCCGCCATCACTACCTTCATTTCCTGTTCTTCATCCAACTTTCTATCAGCCACAAGAACAACAAATTCAGTATGTTCAAGAACAACAAATCCAGTATGCTCCCGTCAATACACCGTTGACCGATCTGAATAATTTCCAGGTAAATGAGAAAGGAGAACGCATTACAAACAGTGGAAATCGAATTGTATTTATGGATGTTGTTACACCAAGTTTAAATATGCAACAGATGATTCATCTCCCAGCAGACACTCATCGATGGCCACAACAACAACAACAACAAATAATTACTACCTCAACACCTTATACCCCTTATCAGCATCCTGAATATCGATTCAATGAACCACCCGTGAATAGTACGAAAAAAATAGTTCGAAAAAAACACTCACCCAATAGAGTACCTAGACAGCGATCCCGTCGACGTCAAATACCCGTTATAGACATACAAAATATTGAACATTTATTAGAAGGACCAAGTAATACAGAAAGATTATATAATCCTCTAACTAGAACGAAACATGGTAGGGATTTTGAAATGATCGATGGATATTTGGAAGATAACAGTGGTAGAAAATTAAACTTAAATCATGATGATGCTGAGTCAATGTTGACTAAATTACGACAAGACGATCATCGTGCCAGTACAAGTTCATCCATGAGTAGTAGTAAAGGTAGTTGTCTTCTAAAATTTCACCATTTTATCTGTTGATCGGCCATTCTTATAGGTTCAAATATTATTCGTCAGAGTAAACACTCGACAACTCTTGGCTCTGCTATAAACTATGCTGAACGTGGTATTAATCGTTCATTTTTAAAAAATCTTCCTGATTCACAATTATCAACGATGGTTTCGAGTAAACATTCTGCAAATCTCACTCAACATAGTCTCGGTAGTGATCATGTAAAACAATATGTCGAAAATATTTATGGTGCATCCCAGCGTGAACAATTAAAACCGAAAGAGTCCAAACGGTCAACATCTAATAAAAGTGATAATCAACCATCACAGCCAATAACAACAACACTATTTCAACCTCAACAAGTAACAAACGAAACATATATGTCACCACTTCGCTATATGCAAAATAATATCACTCCATTATTGCTGAGAGAGTATCGGAAGCCTTATGTGTAATCTTGTTGCCAAAAATGACGTATACAGATTTTTTTTAGAATTAGTATTTTGAACAAAAATAATGTTTTTATGATTTGTTAGTATCAGTGACAATGCAAAAGTCTGAACATGTAGAATACGAAAAGTCGAACAAAAATGTGTACAAATATCAGAGAATACAGAGAGTTCTCATATCTCTGTTTCTTCCTATCAGTTATTTTTCACCTTTTTTCCGGAAATCATAAGTTAGTTTGTCATTGATAATAATGCAACTATCTATCCAGTTATAGTACTGTTTCCGAACTTACTTCAATTACTTTCATTTTCATTAGATTGCTTGCAAATAAGCTTAGAAATACGCTTTTGTTCAGGTCATTTTTTTTGTATGGAAGGTATTATGCTTAATTTAATTTTATCGTTTAAACTAATGTTTGTTAATCTGTTTGACAACTATGACAGTGTAAGAATATGCGTCGCATTGCTAACAAACAACAACGTCGAGTGCTTGGTTTGTGTAAATGGCAAGAGAAAATGTTCAAATTTTCTAATAAAAATTGAAATTCCTCTCAAAGTCAAATTATTTGATCTTTCAGAGAATACCTCAGGTACCATCGAATGATAAGATGTTTTGTGTAATCAGTTATCTGCAAATCTACAGGCAGATTTTGTCTGAAATTCCTTTTTAGTGTGGCAGGTTTTCCTTCATATACACATAGATTGATTTTTACTTACTTATAAATTCGTATATTAATACGAATATGTTATGTGTGAATTTTTGAAAAACTCTCATTTATTTTAATTTATCATTTTCGAAAAGTTTATTATAGCCTGATTAAAGTCAATTATTACACTGTAAAGGAGAAAATTATTTATAGAAAATGCTTGGCGAATTTCAAAGAATCCATATATAAATTCATCGAGCATTTTCTAGTTTATAGAAAATCGAAATTTCCAGTTTATAGAAATTCCTCCTCGAATTTCCAGTTTTCATGTGAATTATTTATGGAAATTCCTCATTTATAGAAATTCGACAGCGAATTTCCAAGAAACTGGAAATTCGAGAAGGAATTTCTAGAGACTTTTTAAATAACTCCAAAGAATCTTTGCAATTGTCGTGATATCGACAGAAAGAAACAGCCACAGTCCTTGCTTTTCATTATTTGTATTTTAATAACACATTTATTGTCTCTACAGTAAAAAAAATGAACGAAAACACCACGGCTACTCTGCGAAAGAAAACAGAAAACAATGAATTTTTATTTGTAAAAATAACAATAGAAAAAGAGAAAGGGTAAAAATGTTTTTTATGTAAGTTAATTAAATCAATTAATTCATTGGAATGTACTAAATAGAGATAAAGGACGAAACGATTAGTGGCATAAGAGAGTATTTCATGTGCTTCTTTGATCCGTGGTACGTGCTCTCCGAAAGTGTAAGATAAGGGAATGACAGTCTTCCACAAAATGCGTTTACGAAAATGCATTTTACAAAGTGGAGTAGAGCTCATACTACCTCGATTTGAATTGTAAGCACCTACTCTCTTAAAAGTTTGTTCAGCTGACAGCAGTCAGCTCTTTCGCGCTAGAGATTCCTTCCATGACTGTCGGAGTGGCTTTGGGATTGCCCCTTTGGTGTACATCTCTTGTTTGTGATTGGTCCGTTCAAGCGACATCAATCATGGAAATTATTTATAGAAATGAAGTATTTCTTTCGCTTGCACCCAACGGATATCATCATCTTTTTGAAACGCCCCTATCTATGGAAAATAGGTAAAATAATATCTTTACGAGTTACACACAGTCATCAGAACTGATTGATATAATAATATATCTTACTTCCCCTATTTACTTTTCAGGTATTGTTTCATATTTACAAAAAAACACTTCAGATTGTTATCTTTAATGAGCTTTTTTTTTTCAATGTTTGGGTGAAGAGTGCTATATAACTATATGGTAGACAAAAGACTCTTATACATTATACTCTTGCACAACGACTACGAATCAGTGATTCGATGCTCAAAAACCGTCGAACAAAAATTAAGCCCTCCGCCATTTTACATTAGTGGAACTACTATAGGTATTAGTTTTATTTTGAACATGTTTCAACCTTTTTCATATGAATGTTATATCTAAATTAGAGAGAAAATACCAAATGCTCGCTATCTTAAAAGTAAGCGTACTTTGAATCATGATTTACAAAGAAATCTGTTGCGGTTTACGACTGAACGAAATCGTTTGATCCATGATTCAACGTACACAAAATTAAATGATCGATAACAATTTATTCGACTCTATGAGTTCATCTTGGAATAAATGTTTGCAAAAGTGAAAACTCACTTTTGTTTGTACTTTTGAATGTGCTCTTTCTCGTGGTCTGTAAAAAAATCTTTTATAGCTGGTGGTGTGGTCGAGAACGAAGTTTCAAAAATACGCCAAAAAATGACAACCTCCCGTTTCCCACAATGTGCCGAAGCAAGAAACGGAAAACATTATTTTGTAGTTAGGTAGAGAAGAGTAATCATCTCTGATCAAAACAAAACAAGCCAAGTCGAAAAACCTTTTGTTTTGATAGAGTTATGAGACTTTTACTTAAAGCACCACTATACATAGAATTTAAAAAATTAATGAAAAATTGCGTGATAACAGATAGAAAAAGCGTTACTTCTCCGGGGGTTTTGATCCTCAAAAATTTGAAGTGTAACTAAAAGATAGAGCGAAGTCGGTGCTATAAAATGACTAATTCACTTTTTCTTAAGTTCAAAACATTAACACATGAAATCGATCTTGATTTTACAAAGCTTTCATTTTCTTCGTCTTTCGCATAATCTGCGTAGTTTTTCTTGATTGAAGTTCTGAAATTAAAGTTTGGATATGGGTTTGTGGAGTATTTTGTGGCGCATCTTTTTAAGAAAAACATTAACCTTTGGATCTAAAGAAACACGAGAAAAATAGAAAATGCTGAGAGGCTACATCCATTACAATTCCTGTAGTGGAGTTTAATGAATTTGTATGTTCGTCAAAAAATGGTGTTGATCCACCGTTCGTCGTGGTAAATGATGATAATATTAAACTTGTTTTATTATTTACTAACAATAATTTTAAAACATTTGCAGTTATACTCCATTGACTTCCTGTTATACTACATCTATTAAGCTCACCTAATATATGCTTGTGCTCCAAATGGCCGCGTAGACAAATTTGTTCAACTTTCCCATTGTCTTGTACAAAACGAACACATGCATCAGCATCAGGACAACGAATACTTTCTTGATGATCTTTCCCTTGCAGATCTTTTAATCTTAACATTTCTTATCTATAAAGACACAGCAAAGAAAATAAGGACTTGCAGTAGTATGTATTCTTTATTCTATACAATAATTAAAAATACATTCAAACCAATTTACTTTCACTAAAATAGCATGCACAAGACAAAATAATAAGCTATACACATAAAATAATACATAATTTTTAATTTTGTACAAATAATCTTCCATAAGGACGTAATGCAACATAGCCAGTATTATGTATGTTAACCATTTTTAATGACCAAACATACTTTAAATCAGCAGCTGTCCCAAAACGCTCTCTTCTCTGCACTTTAAACGTAGGTAAAGTGCAGAGAAGAGAACGAAGGTATTCTTCATTATTCACAATTTTTAAAAAAACGAATGTGACAAATTTGTTCAACTTTCCCATTGGTAACTGTATTATCACCAATAATAAAAATGTAAACAATTTGGGCTAATTGCAGTGTATATGTCAAGTATTGACTGGATGTACATAATACCGTTCCAACTGAATAACATATTCCATTTATTTTACAAGTTTGTGCTGAATGTGCTGTTTCAAGTAAATCCCATGCATCAATATTTGCTTACAATTCGTCTGACAATGGACTAACACAATGCAAATGTGTATCATTCTTTAAAACACTTCTTGATAATCTTCCATCAGCATTATAGTCAACACAACATTGCCATACTTGATGTCTTTTGGAACATGTTTTTGTTAAATTTTTAAAATTTCGATGTTTGTTTCCTAAAAGGAGAAATGATGCAAGAAACAAATTAGAATAAAGGCATATTTAATTCATCGCTTTAAAAAACTGCTGTTTTTTTTCAGATGAGAGACATTGTATGTAACTTAAAAGTGCAAAAAGCGCAAATGATAAATATTATTTTTAGGCTGTTCAGGACTGTGTAACGTTTTTAAAACGTATGGGATCAACCAGCAATTGACTGAAGCCTGCTGAAACGTACTTTGGTTACAGTAGTCGGAAAAATGATATAACATGAGTAAGAGAAGATTTCGTTCAGTCGTAAACCGCAACAGATTTCTTTGTA